TGCAACCACTTCAGCCCGAACTTCATAAATTTCAGCAGAATTAGCCAAATCCGTCGATTTTCGTGTTACCAAATAGGCTCTATATGTCCAAATTCAGTCGCGTATCCATAAAATTTGGCGCGTGGGGGCAAACATGCACTACAATTTTATCTCATACTCCCTCCGTCCCAATTTGTTTTGCAAAGTCAACATTTTTTGGTCAACCAATAATAAAAGTCAACTCTCCCTATGGATAATTAATTCAATTTTTAATAAATAAAATTTACATATTCAAAAACTACATTAAAATATATTCAAAGTTGTAAACTCCAAATTAGAAAATAATTAAAAATAGACATCCTAATTAAGTGAACAAAACGAGACTGTTTGACTAAGAAAAATCAAATTTGCAACTCTTTTTGGGACGGAGGTAGTATTTCACAAATAGCAAATCACATTATTAATATTGTTTGATTAAATTTAGTTTAAGATATTTGGAGTATATGTACGAGTATGAATAAAAAGAAGAATGATTTATATTACAGGTATGTAAAGATGCAATTGCGGATAAAATTTGAGAAAATTACCTAAATATAAGTCAAACATTACAAAATGTAGTGAATGTTTTAGGCTTTCATTCTTTTGATATGAAAGAAAACACTCTTAATCGTATTTTAGATTTCTTTTCTACATTTAACTTTTATTTTGAGCAATTTCTTATGAAATTTAAGATATATTCCGTATTGGATTTGGTTGGGGTTGAGTGGGGGGCAGCTGCCCCCATAGTGGATACACCACTGTGTGATAGGATTTCATTTTATATACGAAATTACTAAATTTTCGAAGTTATAGACTTATAGTATGTTATATTAGCTAACTAAATTTATTGAATTACAAAAAGAATCAAATATGAAATATCTAATTAAATAAAGAAAAAACTATGGAGGAAAAGTAAAATGGTAATCTTCAATAATCAATTAAACTGAAAATAACCCAAAGGGGACACGATTCTAAGAATTGAAGAAAAAACCTTAATTATCATGGTGAAATGCAAGAAAAATTAAATGGAGATGTTGCAATCTTGGGTGTATACTATCCGGAAGCTTTACATTGCATCCACAGTGTAAAACGAAGTCGCAAACAAAAAAATATAAAGAAAATGTTTAAGGTTATATAGAAAAGGTTAAAAAATTGCATACCTCAAAGAATCACAAAGTAAATGTTATGCAAAAGTAGAAACAAAATAAAAATCATATAAACAGCTAAGGAATCAAATAATCATAATTTAAAAAGTAATGGCTAAAATTTACGTAGTACAAATCAAAATCTAATTTATGCCGTGAATTTATTTCCATACAAATTTAGTACCAGAACATCCTAAGTGCATTAAACACAACACAAACAGAAAAATCAACCAAGAAGCCAAGACGGCTTAAGATCCGATCCATTAAACAGAATTGAACTTTGGATTGTAGATTTGTAGGTCGAAGAAGCTCTCCAAATATGGGCTATGAAAATGAAAAAAATCAAACAGAGTTGGAGGGTCTCTAATTAATTTAAGGCAAAAGGTCAAATACGTCCGTACCTTTCCGGAATGTTCAATTCGCACTCTAAAAATTGAATAGAGAGACCTATTTTACCCTTTAGCCTTAATTTAATTATCCAAATACTTGGACTTGGAACAAAAAGAATGACACCCCATTCTTGAGGGTCTCCAGTACCGATCGGACAGTGCAACCATGGATTTCTTGTACCATGTCACATCGTCACCGTATCATAAAATTGTTTACCCTAATCATACTTAACACTTTTTAAATGTGTTAGGAATAACTTTAACAAGTTCTTTATTTTTTAACATTTGTGTACGTAATAGACATACTCATCTGACACTAATACTGAAGTTGATATGCATAGGGGTGGTACGTTATACCAAATATTTTCTCGCATATCTTTGTCATACCAAAACTTTCGCTATACAAAATTTTTAGATCATTACCTTATCAAAATTTCGGTATATCATATTCCGGTATACCAAAGTTTTGGTCAACTAACATTATTGCAATATCAGTAAATTACCATGCACGTATCTCAATATAACAAATTATCATAGACTAACGAAATATACAAAATCGGTGTTACTAGCCACATACTTAATACATTATTAAAATGTTATAAAATACAAATAATAATCTTGATGTCATATTCAATATTGAACAATAATTATTATTAATATATTTAAGCAGTTCAACATGTCACGTATTAAAAAATAACACATTCTCCAAAAATAACTTGAACGATATAATTAAATCAATAGTGATCTCAACAAACAAACAAATAAGTAAAATTATTATATTCAAATAATATGAATATATATAAAATCATTTATTCCTAATATGATGTTGTGTATTTAGTCATTTTTATAATTTGAAAAAAAATTTAAATAGGACTTCCGGTATAACAGTATACCAGTATACTTTTTATTTTCAAAACATATACCGATACCATATCGAAGTAATTCACTACGGTACCATACCATACCGAAAATGTCGGCATACCTAAGTTTTCGGTAAATCCGGTAATTTTTAATATGGAAAATGCGGTATACCGAAATTTTGGTATTTTTCACCGGCCCTAAATATGCATAATGTATTCTTTAAGAGTAATTGGTAAAGCCTATTAGTACATTCTGAATCCTATGAAGCATATTCCCTAGTAAAAAGTAATCAAGATCGACTGGTAATTGCCCAGCTATAAAACTGGATTCATCCATTACCCCCATATTCCAAGATATCTCAATGCTGGAACAAGATTTAGTTATATAATTGCATGCTTAATTGAATTAAAAAAACAAGTACACGTGAATTCATTTTTAACCCTTCCCTGACAAATTAACTGGTATCACAAAAGGCAGTTAGCGACTTAGCGCTAGATAAAGCGTTCGGTGAACACTTCTGATGAGGACTTTTAACCCTTCCATTCATTAAAGTTTTGTTTATAATCTGTAGCATATTCGACAACTGACCGGTGATGATTACTCAGATACCATGCAGAGCACCTACTAAGGGAAGATTTCCCTTCAATGAAACTGACTTCCAAGTCAAATAGGTGTCAAATTTTAGATGTTTTGTACTTGGTCAAACTGGCTTATTTTAGATTATTTTACAAGTCTCTCTTGAAGTAAGCTGAGGATCTCTGATATGGCCAACATAAACATTCTCACAACAGTGTTTGGCTGTTTAATTTGCTGATTATTAGTCCAGTAAGCAGCCTATTAGGGCTTCAGTTCTCACCCTTCCCAACCCTACTTCCAAGCGGGACAATTGGCATATTTCAGTTTGCTATAGTTTGTTAAAATGATTAAACTTTTTGAATAACCAAATAACTAAAAGCAATTGTTTACTTTGGTCTTTGGGGGTGACAAATGACCACTTCAGGATATTGATAGCAAACCGCCTTCAACCAAACAAAGAAAATGGGGTGGAAAATAGTTGAACTTTTACTGTAGAAAGAGATTTATTGTCATTAGAGTGGGCTGATGAGCACCTGAAACTGGCTTAGAAGTCCAAGCTTGCAATACATTGAGAAGCGCTCAGAGATTATATCAAAGTGCTTTTAGCTAAAACTATAGTTTGTGCTAGAACCATAATTTGCTTTCCTGCAGAGACTACACAGAAGATAACATGCAATGGAACTTCAATGTTACCAAGCCTACATTCCCACAAAATAATGTCCATTAGAATTTCTTATCTGTCAAGCCCTCTTGATAATTATGAAAACCCGCCAGTCCGCCACACGAAGAGAAACTCAGAAGTCTGAGCCATTCTAGTTGAAACAAATCCAACCATAACCTCCTTATTGTACACAACCACATGGACTTTGTATTGAATCAACATAAAGACTATACATAGACTAAATGTTTTGAAAGACAGAGGATAGATGAACAATCTGGCAGCACCTAGGCCATCTATGCCATACAAAAATACAAATGGCTATGAAATGCTTAAAGGAAAACTACAAAACTAAAGGAAGCATAGAATATCCACACATTCAGCTGGCAGCTGTCTTTGGCTAAAGAGAACATTTTGTCTTAAGTGTTAACCTAAGTAAAAATAGCTCCATTAAATAAATAACTAATTTCGGCACAACAACTATCCCCTGTATCCATCTCCTTTCCCATGAAGGGATCATTATATCACTTAGTTTGCTTAATGTCTGAGGCCTTTTGCTGTCAGGCTGAAGAGAAAATGGAGGGCAAAACCAAGGGCATGCATAAACCTACCATCAGGTTCAATTTTGTATGAGTATTTTACCACTTAGTAAATTAGCAACAGTATTAGCAGCAGAATTACATACAGATTGAAGAAATAGAAGAACAAGTGAGATGCCTGTTAACTGCTTCCCATATTGCTTGCTTTACAGAGATGTAGGATGATCTATTTTTAAAATAAAAGAAATTCAAAAACTATTGTTCGAAAACACAGTTTGACATTTGAAAAAATAATTGATTTTCTTATAATTCTATCATTTTTGTGTTCTTGAAGAAGCGCATTGGCGGACTGGTTATCGTGTTGTGAGAATGCCAATGTGCACCGGGCTATCCCTCATCTTTGGCCAATTATATCTAGCCAACAAGCAGAGGGAACACGCAGTATATATACCAATCACTAATCATTATCCAGGTTTCCTATCCTTCAATTCCAATTTTGTCGGATTATCCTTCAGTTTTCATACTTTAGCTATCAAAATCAAGTTCCACGCACACCTAAACATAAAACCACACCTTATACAAGTAAAAATCAACTTAAATCCAATCTTAACTTCAAATCAACTTCAAGATCCAAGTCCGGCACAAAATTAAACCCTGAAACAAGAACTCCTGAAAGACTGTAAAATGATATACTCAGCTTTCCTTTGATAAGTGTCACTACTACTCTCCTATGCTCTGCTCTACTCACGCAACGTCTCAGCTATGAGAGAAACACTCAATGATCAACCACATAAGCTAGCAGCACTCAACCACAGTAAGTTCTTCTTCATAGACTTGCATGTAAGATGTCACGAGACGGTGATATGTTTAGATAATTACTATAGTGTTTTTACATTATAAAATTGATATCGATATTGAAAATCAACATGCGCATCATACCAAATTACAGTACAAAATATGCAAAAGGCAAAAACTGGCCATACTGAGCAGCTAAACCCCAATAGCGAGCAAGCCAGCATCTTTTGAGAACAACTTCTTCCTGGAATATGAATAAGCTACTATTTCAAGTTAAATCTCGCAGCATGTCGCACTACAAATAGCCAGCTAATCTCCAAAAAAGCACAATAACAAATCATTTCGTTCTGGGTTAGGGCCATTCTTTGTGTCAAGGACCACAGCGATTTAACTTCAGATTGAGCCCCTTGAAGTTTATCACCAACAGAATCCGCTTCTTTTTTTTCCATTCTATAGCATATAAAGCACCATGAGTCAAAACGTGAGGCCGAAGAATGCAAAAGAAACAGCAACACTTGTATGCAGCCCTGCATTGCAAGCACTTTACCATTACACCAGAATGGAGGGTTGCAAGCTCCGCATCTACCCCCTCTTTTGACTTTGCTTCTTTTATTGCAGCCTACAATAGCTTAGTGCTTACAATCATAAGAAAGTTGAATACAAACCAGAAAATGATGATTTTAATGTGACTGATGGTTTTAGTCCCTTTTCATTTTGGCAAGTCGACTGCAAAGTCAATTCTGATCCAAATGCTGTTGCTTATGAGCCAAGAATAGACCACCTAGGCACCTACACAACACACACAACAATAGACCATCTAATTAGCAAAAAAATCCAAAATTACCTCCCTTTGGCATAAAGAAGCTACTTTTCTGCATATGAACAACACTAGTTTCAGTCATATAACATCAAACACAGAATATTAGCTATAAAGGGGATCAGATGTACGCAGCCTTACTGGGGTCAAAAGGCGGCATCAATTAAATATTGATTTATTTCGTATGAGACAACATTTTATTTTGAGAAACTTTGTCCTACAAAGATGAAATATGGAGTGTGAAGACACATTCTCTCTAGTTCTAGTCCTCAACTATGGTGATGGTGCCATTTCGACATGAAGCGCCAGCTTGGGATAAAAAAATGTTGAAATGGCTCAATTGACTGAGTTTGTTGTAACTAAAATAAATATTTGTCTAAGAAATGAATTTATTAAATAACCTAAATAAAATAATAACTGTGCGGTGAGGGCAGGAGTGTCATTTATATTATTTCAACTAATCCATTTAAAACAAACTTCAACACTTTTTTCAGTCATCAGCCCCATTCAGCTAATAAAGCTAATATGGAAAAGTCAGTCTCATAAGATATGGGAGCCAGAAGGAGCAAGAATTCTATTCGTTCACGCTTAATGCACATTTTACTATTAACAACATTAAGCATTATCCTTAACCTCAAATTCTAATTACACATACATATTCCACCCCCAAGATACAAATTTTACTTGTATGAAATTAAACAAACCAACAAATCTATTCAAGCATAAAGAAAGAGCATGACTGCATGAGGCTACAATTAGCGTATGTAAAGATCATAAATTTATTTACCTTTGCTAAATCAGACCTCGGAACATGAGGAAATGTAACATCCGTGTTATCCAACTGCAAAAAACACACAAATAAAATTTTACCGTTCAGCAATCATTCAACCATTTGACACTGTACTAATGTAGTTTGTTCCCCAAATTTTGAAACATAAGTCCATTCCATGATTTCTATAGTACAATGAAACTGTGCAAGTCTCAAGAAGTCCTAAATGTTGCTATTCTCCGTATTCCTAAATGGAATCTATAAGAAAGTTAGAAATGCAAAATACATCTTATTTAACAATAATATAGAGGCTTATTTGTAGTATTCAACATTGTTCTTCCCCCAAACACACCAGAGTACAACTTAAGCCCTTTTTTGGTTGGGTGATTTGGGGGGGGGGGGGTGATTTTCCTTCTTAATGTATCTATGACTACATTAATTAAAAAATCACCCTTCACATTCCATCCTCCTCAAACTTCCCAACCAAACAAGCGATAAAGAAACAAAATTCAGCATCTCATACGGAAACGAAGCTCATCCTGAACCTGACATCAGCAAATAAATGGAACATCATATCATATTGAGCTTCATCCAGATAGCAGATTTAATCACATCTTTTATTTGTAAACTATAGCCCTTTTCCACAATTCATGGTACAACCAGCCCCCTTGACACCAGCCACCATAACTGTTTGGCCATGTTCATTGTCTTCCAAGTTCCAAGTACTAATAAATGTTGAGGATGTTCCATAGCAGTAAAAACCATGATTGAAGTCTTACCTCCATAGGGTTGGTGGCTACATATTCAAGTTCACCTTGAACGCGATCAAAACTCAATTCCCCATCATGTGATTCAGATTGCCCATTAGATTCATAGTCATCAACATCATCATCACCATCATTTACTGCGTCATCATCCTTGATATCATCTTCAAGCCCACCAAAGTGGTAATCAATATGTTGCTGCTCAGTGACCCACTTGACATGTGGCTCAACCTCCTCAAGACATTTCAGAGCCTTCCGGAAGAGTGAAATCAGCTTGGTACGTCATAGATTGCATTGTAATTCTCATCCAATCAATTTAAAAGAGAAACATGCTGTGGGGCCATACATGTATTTTTCCATGATGTTGAAAACCGAAAGGGGTAAACAATCCTTAGTGTAACATAAAAAGGAACCTGAGCAGCATGGTGCCGAGCAGCTTGTGTAAAAAGACTGCAGGATTGTCCTTTACGGAGAGACTTCATTCGAAATACAAAAACATTTGCTCCCTCAGCATATTCATCATAAGCTGCTTTCAGTTGCTGAGAAGAAAAGTGCTCCCCACTGGCTCCTCTCAGCTTCCCTACCCCCCCCCCCCCCCCCCTTCTGTATGCTTTTGGATCAATTGATCATAGATTCCTCTGGTAATTCATAAGCAAGATTAAGAATAAATATAAATAGATTATAATCTCACACATAAGAATTAATTTCTCTAGTTTGTTACCTTTTTTCGTCACACTGTCTCTTCATGTCCTGCAAAAAACATAGACTGCTGAAGATATTTTCAAAGCATAAAAACCAAACAAACAAATGATAGAACACTGGTAGAATCTAAGTGAAACAAATGCAATTCTAGATCAATCTAGGTAAGAACAGATCGGAATAGAGTTTATTGCATTAGAGAAGAATCAATGTAGGTGTACAGAACACAGGGGACAGTTCAAGAAGCTCACTCTCCAAATCTATAGCCAACTGAAATAACAGCCTGCCTTATTTAGCTAACTCACCTTCTATTTATAGCTAATCATCCACGCAGGGATAAACCGAACTAACTAACTAGTTAGTTAATAACAGACTTTATTCTTCTTTTATAGACTTTATTAAAATATTGAATAGGCTGCAGCATTTGTCGGTCAACAAACAAACAAACAAACAAACAAGCAAAAAAAAGGAATTAAATTAGGAAACTAGAGATGATACATTTTGACAGCTCATTATGTTATATAAAATGAGGTTTACACAGACAAACCTCAACAATGTGTAGTTCAGAGAGGAGGGACTCAGATGGGACTGATATTTTCTGGTTAATATGTGAACGCTGAAAACAGAAAAGCACTATTGCATTACAAGGGAAAATAAAAAATTAGAGAAATCTAAAATAATTTATACAAGGACTACTCACATAACTATCTACAAGTTTCTGGAGCTGAAACTGGACTTTGCCAAGCTTGAGTAACGCTTTACCTAGAAAGTAAAATAAATAATTCAGCCTTGAGAAAATTATAAATAAATGAAGTGTGCATGTAATCCAATGTTGTGAAAATCCCCAACTACCCAGCTTAATCCCCACAAGCACTTATTGCCGCTTTATATGAGCACTTTAATTGAGAAACTATTTATTCAATTACAAGAAGACTGACTATTAGATCTCATTCCTAAATGTGGACGTGGTGAACAAAATTCAACACATCTGTATGACATCCAAAATTATTATCATAATAGGACTTATTACCAGTTTCTTCGCCATCACTCAATGACGTCTTTTCAATAAGACAATCACCCATTTCACACAGTGACCCTGAAAATTCTGGAAGAAAAAAAAACTTGTCTATTATGAAAATTTCCACCAAAATGGTAACAAAAAATTGAAAGAATAACACGGCACAAAAAAACAAGATTGGTGAAAGATGTCAGCAAAATAAAAAACATCCCTAACTTAGGCTTCTCATTTGATGTCAGAGATGAAGCAAGAATGAGTCTTCAATAACAGGGTGGCATGTATTTATAGATAAAACAATAAAAGCTAGATAACATCTCAATACATAAAAAAAAAAAATGAGAACCCTGTCGAAATGTAAGTATAAACTTTAAAGATAGTAGAGAACGCAGTATACATCAATAGAAATAAATATGTGTACGATATATACCAAACCACCAATTAACGAGCTGGACTCTGGCAAAACAAAGTAAAGCTGCTCTGAAGTATCCAAATGATAGGTTTTATTTTGCAGTAAAATGATGCATATATGTAAACATAAAAAGATGTTATAACACATGCATCCATCATCATCATCATTACCTCAGTGGCCGCAAAGGCTCCCACCTACGGTGGGGTAAGGGAGGCCGTATGTACGCAACCTTACCCCTATACTAAAGTACAGAGAGACTGTTTCCGGATGACCCAAAGAACGCATGCATCCATGTAAACATAAAAAAGATCTTATAACTTATAACGCTATGCATACATGTAAACATAAATGTATGCGTACATGCATGCATGTAAATATGCAACAACAAACAACAACATTACCTCAGTGCCGCAAAGTCTCACACCTGTGGTGGGGTAAGGTGGATCGAATGTACGCAGCCTTACCAATGTACTAAAGTACAAAGAGATTGTTCCAAACGACCAATGATGAAAATCACGTCCAAATTGCATGGACTGACTGTTTCTTCATAACAAAGAAGCGCAGATAGTTTAGTGAGTCATTTTGCTTTATTCCATCATATTCTCAATCCAAAAAATAGTGAGTCTTTGGCTCCATTACAAATGATGGGGAAAACAATACTAATTTCAACATCAGACACTTAAAATATTAACAAGTTCAAACTTGAAAATTCATGAAATAAAAGAAAGCAAACAAACCATAACAGTACACACTGCACAGACTCTGTACTTGGTGCAGCATAACAAAATTGTACAGTTGATGGATTTGTGCAACCCCAAAAAACAAAACTTCTAGGATTGAAATAACAGAAGTACAAAGTTTAATTTACCAAGATAATATAATGTCTGAAACTTTTTACCAAGCAAAATTGAAAAGTGAGGTATCAATGAAGCTGCGGTTTGTCTAGTCAGTGGTTGATGATCAGCAGCAAGAAATGGTCGAGATAAGCTTGGTGCAGCTAGGGATAGAGAGGGGTTGAAAGAAAGGAGAAAAATCATTAGGAATGGTTTTTGTGGTGACCGTGTCATCCTAATATGATTAGCAACATAACATAAGAATTGCTGTGAAAATTGCAAGCCCAAAACAGATTTTTGAGGACAGAAAGGCTCAATGAACAGAAATTTCCTACGAAAGGGTCCTTGTTCTTTCTATCATATCCTCTCCCAGTGAAGAAGGCGAAGGTGGAGAGGCTCTGAAGACCTATCAGGTTAGTTCTGAGTGAATGTTTGTGTAAAAAGCTTGAAAGGAAAAATGCAACTCTATCATTGTCCAAGCAGTGTCAAAGTAAGCCTCCTAACAGCTCAGCGTACAGTTGTACAATCGATAAAATGTAACATGCAAGTTTGCTGGATAGGAAAAGCAGTGTTGTTATGGTGAGGTTTCACGGCGCGGCGCCACTGGACTGCCATACTGTCAAGTACAGGTTCTTTAGAATGATCTTGACAAATCCTCCACTTATAAAAGCTCAAAGGTGCCTCAAAACATAGTGATGATGATATATACTTCCTTGGTCCGATTTTACATGTCTTATACTTCCTCTGTCCCGTATTTAAATTCCCACTTTCCTTTTATGGATGTCCCAAACAAGTTCATACTTCCTTATTTGGCAAACAAATCTGCTCCAAAACAGTGCCAAACGGTGTACTCTACAGTAAAAATTTACCCTTCCGTATATTTATCTTCTTAATATGTTTGAAGTCAAACTAGGAACTTAAATACGAGATGGAGGGAGTAGTTATTATTATTCTTTGGTCAAATCAATTCTTCTTTGCTTACTTTCTTTCACAAACACTTTTTTATAATTATTCAATTTGGTTTATGTTTAGTATATCTTCTCATTTAGTTTCAATATGTAATAATTTTATTTATTATTAAATACAAAAGAACGCAAGATGTTTCAGTATTGTCTAATTGCACGCGTAAGACAAATGAAATGAAATACTCCGTAAAATGAAGAGAGCAATGATGATACTGATGACAACAACAATTTCAACACTTGAGGACAGAATAAAAGAAAGGATTTTATTTCCATGTTTGTTTTTTAAATTTGCACTTCTAACATGAAATAAAAATAATAGATTAAGGGCTCAGTTGATTTACCTCATACTTTCACAACATTTTGCTTATATGAACAGCAGTCCACTCAGGTGATCGTCCAGATTTTGACCAATGTTTTCATAGCGCCTTATGAAAGCATTCATGCACTACCACTTTCAGCACATAGCCAGATCTGGAATCCTAGATTCAAGCTGAACTCACAGGCTTCAATTATACAATGGATTAATAAGGCATCCAGTGACTGCTAAAAAGCCAAAAGCAGTCTGTATCACCAATAATCACCACAAGAACAAATCCCATCCTGGAAGTGATGATATCTGTTTATATCTCTAATAATAATTTCTCTGTGCACAAGGGCTGAAATAATTTTGATTGCTGCATGGCAGTCCATGCATATTTTGAGGTTTTTAATGATACGAATTGGGCTACTTTGCGGAGTTCTAATCAGAGCGAAAGCTAAAGCAAGCCTTTCACTATGTACCCATAAAAGCTGTGCCTTTTCATCATCCTCAACAGCAAGTAAAACAGAATCAAGATTCGGAACGTATCCATCAGCCTTACATTTCAAATTGAACCACTCCAGCATTGCATGAATTAGTTTAATATCAGGATGTGAAACATCTCCAACAGAGAAATAATGAACCATTCCCTGGTTTTCAACCCAACTTAGTCCTGGTTCCTTCTTTATATGTTTCTTCTTCATGCTTTTCCTGACAAACGAGACATTACCCCACTTCTTTGCAGTGGCGTAAATGTTAGACAATAACACATAGGTTGAATTATCTAGTGGGTCCATCTCAAGAACACGTTCTGCAGCAGTTCTCCCAAGTTCGACGTTATTATGGAGAACACATGCCCCAAGCAGAGCACGCCATATCATAATGCTGGGCTCAAATGGAATCTCCTCGATCATTTTGACTGCCCTGTCAAGATGACCTAATCGCCCTAAAAGTGATACCATGCAAGTATAATGCTCTACACTAGGTTCAATACCATAATGCTCTCGCATTGAGGAGAAGTACATTTCTCCTAGATCCAATGAACCAGTGTTACTGCATGCTGAAAGAACACCAACAAAAGTTAAGGGATTAGGTTTGATATCCATGCTTCGCATCGTCTCAAATATTTTCAGGGCCTCACTACCTAAACCATGCATGGAATATGCAGAGACCATAACATTCCATGAGACTAAGTCTCGCACATTCAAAGTATCAAAGACAAGACGAGCATCCCTAACATTCCCGCACTTTGCATACATATCGATCAAGGCATTTCCAACAGCACCATGTTGGATGTAAACGGTTTTTTCAGTCAGTGCATGTACTTGCATGCCTGGTTCTAGTGCAGCTAGCCGGGCACAAGCACACAGAATGGAAGAGTATGTGATTTCAGTAGCTTGCACTTGGAGTTCGAGCATATTCATGAACAGAGACATTGCTTTCTCATGATCGCCCATTTGCACATGGCCAACGATAATGGTATTCCAAGATACATCATTCTTGTCTGCTGAGCCCGTAATAAATAACTGAACTGTGTTTTCCAGCATTCCACATTTAGCATATACATCCATGAGGGCATTTGATACAAAAACATTTGAATCAAGACCAACTTTTTTTACATGGCAATGGATTTGCATCCCGAGGTCCATCTCGCTCATTGTTGCGCATGCTTGCAGTACGCTAGTAAAAGTGAAATGGTTTGGAACAACAGATGTTCCCCTCATTTGACGAAACAAGTCCAAAGCCTCATCACACTGGTCACTCTGAGAGTATCGTGCTATCATGAAACTCCAAGGAATTACATCATATTTTGGTATCTCCTCAAACATGTTTCTAGCATCCTTGATATCTCTAGCCTGTGTGTACAAGTCAAGCAGGGAAATACCAACAAAAGGATCCACCAAATAATTAGTCTTCAAAGCAAAACTGTGGACACTCTTCCCTACCGTAAATGCCTCTAACCCAAGACAAGCTTTCATGACACTAGCAAAGGTAAAGTTGTTTGGTCTCCATCCGGCCGTTCTCATCTTACAGAACAAGTCAAGTGCTTCTTCAAAATAACCATTTTCAGCATAGCAAGAAACCATTCCAGTCCATGCAACCAAATCCTTACCAAGAATTCCATTAAATATTTCTCTAGCAGCTTTAATAAGGCCACATATAGAGTAAGCATCCATAAGAGCCGTGCTAACAAAGGGGTTTGAGTCATAACCTAGCTTATAAATACATGAGTGGACGCTCCGAGCCATCTCTGTCCACTCCATATTCACCAGCACCTTCAAAATCGTGGTGAAGACAAATGGGTTAAGCTCGTGACCTTCTCTATGCAATCTAACAAACAATTCACTAGCCTCAGTGTAATGCTCCAGTCGCATATAACCCTGAATCAAAGTAACAAATGAAACCATATTTCTATCCTCCATTTCATCAAACAGCTGGTGAGCACAAGGCATAAAGTCAGACTTGGCGTAGAAGTTCAACAAAATGTTCCACCCGTAAAGGTCTAAACTGCCACCTCTCTTTAAAATATCGCAATGAAGAGACTTTCCCAACGCAAACTGACAGTTTGTGATGCATTCTTGAAGCATGTTTGCACATGCGCGATAATCGAACTCCGGGTCTTGCTGCATTGCCAAGTTCATGCCTAATTCCTTGGTCAGTTGGACGGATGAGAAGCGACGGTCCAGAACTTCTGGAGAGAAGAAATATTTGGGAGGCGTGAGAGAATGTAGCCATGGTCTAGTCAGTATTGGCCTGATCATGCGTTTGGAAGTTTGCTTTTCAAAATTTGTCTGCTTCAGTAATACTTGTTGCCGTATTGCGAAAAAAAAATTGTCAGTATTTTTTTTGTTGTTGCCGTATTGCGGATCAGTCTATATAGTACTATCGTATATACGGTGTACAATTTGAGCCATCTTCCAGCTACTCCTCACTTCGTCAGTTCAGATGCCTTGAAGGAGCACATTAATAGTCCGTATATCATCAATAAGACACTAAGCTAATTTATGGGGCAAAAAACACACTTTTGATTGTTATTTTATCAATTAAGTCACTCCCTAACACCACTTAACGGAATCCAAACCTCAGCAATTCTTCCCGTCAATTTTATTAAACTTGGGGTCTAAAATAAAAACTTAGAAAGTTGTAATAACCTCAGCCTATTCGAATTTATTAAGTCACTCCCTACAAACCCTAAAACACTTAATTGTTTTACAATGAAAGAGAGATCCAGACGAAGGAGACTAATTGTATAAACGATATACCGATATACTACTAGTAAAGGTAATCTGAGTTTGAAATTTTATTGTTTTGGTTGTGCTCAAGAGTTTTTCAATCTCCAACAGTTTTTTTTTTTTTTTTGAATGACGATCTCCAGCAACTTGATGAATATTATGGTGAAGTTTAATTATGGTGGCATGTGGGATAAATATGAAAGAACTGGAAAGATAGAGTATATAAATGGAGATGTTTATACTATTTTCAATACCGATTGTGGTTACATATCTTATGCACCAGTAGAAAGAATATACAAGTTAGATTTGAAGTTCAACACTTGCAAAAAGATATTCATTTTGGAACCAGGAAAGGGGTTGGATGATGGTTTATGTTTTGCATGTGCATGATGATGATAGTGTTAGGATGGTTTTGTTGGAAAAATGTGTGAAAAATTGCATTAAATGGCTATTTTGAGGCAATTTTTTTAGTGGGGTCCACTTCCGATTTGGGTCGGGTCAAAGTGGTTTCGGATTGTCCTTGTTAAGGGCTACAATTCGATATATGGTACGCTCAAAACGGATAACGGGTGAATGAGAAATCGCTTTTCAAAGTTTACCCGTTAGAAGGGAAAAAGGATGGGTTTCTAGTGTGTTAATTTCCCACACCGAAAAACCCAAGGGATTTGCTACCCTTTATAATGGGACTCCCCCCTTATGGAGTTAAGATTCTTAAGGGTAAAGGCTCTCTCCACGCGCGCAGGGGGGGGGGGGGTGCAAATCAAATCCCGAATCCGGAGAAGAATTCGGGATTTGCATGCGCGGGCGACCTGCGGACACGAATGTCGTCCAAAAATCTATCTCTCAAGAGATACGATTAATTTTTGTTTTCTTCCCGAAACGTTTAATTTTTCCCAGCGGCAGAAGTGCTCGGACAGAAGCCTACGGATCAGAACACCTCGTTGGTGTTCTGATGACAGAACCCCTCATGGGGTATTCTGATGGCCGCCCATCAGAGTTGGGGGTACTCTGATGGCCGCGGATCAGAGTTGGGGTCTTCTGATTGGCCTCCGATCAGAACCCCTCCCGGGGAGTTCTGATGGAGGTCTTCTCTCGCACTTCTGAAACGTGACAACAATTAATGCCCAACGTTCTTATCTTTTAATGCAGCGTTAAATGGACAGTTCATGGACGATTCAATGCCCAACGGACTGGTCATTGATGTCCAGCGTTCTGGTCCATTAATTCACCATTTACACACAACAAATCATCCTATATAATGACTGGCAGGTGGTTTGCAACAACACACGTTCTTACGCGTTCTTACACAAATCCATACACGTTTTAGCTCTAAAAACACACTGCTAGCATTCCGAAAATTTCCCCTGTGTTCTTGTTCGCTGGAACTTTTGTTTGTGTGCTCAAACATTAGTTCGTACTCATCGTATCCTGGGAAACGATTGTTGCAACGCTCCTAGCACCGTTGGAGGCAACAAATACGTTTTAAGGACATCGTGCGTAGCACGAGCTTTGACTAATTCTGCTTCATCTCCTTTCTTGTTTTTCTCTTGTCATTTTATTTAATTAATTAATTTTAATTAATTTTCTTTATTTTCCGAAACACACCCAACAGGTTTATTATAAAGAGCTGAACAAATCTGCCGCCATTGGAGCTAAGAAAAAATAAAGCATATTGTTGCCTTTTGATTGGCAGATTGTCAAAATGGACTGGGATCATCTTAGGGTATGTTTGCAACAGCTTTTGCTTTTAAAAAAGTGCTTTTTTTAATGAAATGGAGAGAAGTGATTAAATAAAAGTTGATAGTGTTTGAGAAAAAGTGATTTTGAAAAGTAAAAGTGGGTAGTGTTTGGTAAAATAAGTGCTTTTTGTGTAATAGAAAAAAAACACTTTTGACGCGGAAGCCGAGAAAAATAAAAGTTGAAGTGTTTGGGAAAATAAGTGCTTTTTTAAAGCCAAAAGCTGAGAAGTGCTTTTTTAAAATGAGTTGCAAAAGTTGAAGTATCTAACGGTGAGTGTTGCATCTTGAATATTGAGCTCTGGTTCTAGGGGTGGCAGCGGGTCGGATTTTCACCGGGTGGAGGCTCATCCACGTCCACCCGTTAATTTTTTATACTCCACCCACCCATCCATCATCCATTAAAAATTACATCCACATCCAACGCATCCATCTTGAACGGATTATCGGGTGGATCGGGTGAGTAGCGGGTGAAATATAAATGTTCAAACTTGAGACAAAATAAATAAATTACAAAGATAAATCATGACAATTAAGAACCAAAAATTAAGAATTCATTGTAAAATAACAACAAAAACATGAGCAATAAAGTATATTACAATCATTAATTCACTCCCAATTACAAAGAAAAAAACTGAATGTTAAACAAAATAGACATAAAACTTCTTCAAGTTGTTAAATTCTGCATTTATGCATTGGCACAAAACTATTTTTGCTATTTAACTGCCACTTCTTGAAGCTCCCCAATTATCTTTGTTTCACCAATTAACTATTATTATTATTATTATTATTATTATTATTATTATTATTATTATTATTATTATTATTATTATTATTATTATTATTATTATTATTTTATTATTATTATTATTATTATTAAATAGATATAATATATATTATATATTATATATTATATTTATGTGCGGGTAAGCGGGTGGGTAGATGGAACGGGTGACGGGTCGGGTGATGGGTTGGATGAGCCTTCATCCACACCCGATCCACCCCGTCTTTCGATCCACCCGTCATCCATTTTTCATCCATACTTCTTCGGGTTTTCATCCATATTTTCGGTTCGGGTTGACCGAGTATCCGCGGGTGCGGGTGATATTGCCAACCCTTTCTGGTTCCTATGTTTTTGGCCGTGGCTCAATTGATCGATCATCTCTTTGAACTCCCAATTTCAATGTTTGAAAAGAATGGTGAATGGGAAAGAAGATAAGTGGAGTGGTATTCTTTTTAAGTTTGTTGACTTTGGTCCTCCCATTTTTATACTCCGTATTTAAATTTCAGTCCCATTTTGATAAGACTAACGGAGTACATTGTCCGGAAATCTCAATTTCCGTTAGAAACCATTAATGCGTGGTTTAAATGATAGTAAAACCATAAAAAGTGTGTTTTTTGTCCCAAAAATTAGTTTGGTGTCTTATTTGCTCCTTGAGATATACCTTAGTGGCCTTATTGCCCCTTAGCCCTACTGTAGTTTAATAAACGAAAAACTGAAATTTAAACATAACAATGTACGGAGTATAAGCTAAGGAATAATTTAATTTTGATTAGCAACTGATAAATTAAGGATGTTTTCTTTTGGACTGAAATTTGCTGGTCTAGTCTGGTCTGATCTGGTCTAAACTGGTCTGGTCTGGTAAACGACTGGTCTATGTGTATTTTATAACTACGGAAGTCAAGTCTGGTATGGTCTGGTCTGGTCTGGTCTGATCTGGTCTGTTCTGGGATTGAAAACAGTCCAAAAGAAAAACATCGGAGAACAATAAAGAGGTGGTAATATGAAGAACACCCAATGCTCAGCCCTTTGCTACCGTAAGGAATCCGTGTATAAAATCTTTTCAAATAGCCTAGAAATTAAAGAGTAGAATTATCAATTATAGTGATATGAGTATAATTGTAAACTCCACAATAGCATTGTGAGAAACTAAATCAACAAACCCACAATTACGATACAATTAGCAATTTAATCAATAAGAATAATAAATAAACTCCACAATAGACTTGTACAAAAAATTCAATAATTTATAAAATTTAATTAATAATGAATAAACTTCATAGTAAACTTGTACGTGAAATCAAGGATTTTTTCTTAAATATTACTAATGAAAAATGTCATGATAAAAATGTGAGGAACTATTAGTGATTAAAGTTGTGTTCAAAGCTGAAATTTTAAACACAATACAATCACTAATAATTACTCCGTACTATATATATTTTTTCACTTTCAGAAATGGAAATAATAATAATAAATAAACTACACATATACACAATAAAATTAAGAACTTACGCAAAATATGAAGTGAAAGTCTCCGGGTGACCAGGACTCCGGCAATTAGGCCGCAAGGCAGCCAGGTGGGCAGAACAGCGTCACTCCTCCTCATTTGTCGTTGGCATAATGGCACTGTTGACTTGTTGCGCACCTGCACAGAAGATGACGCTTGATGTCTTGTACTCTTATCTTGCTGAAATGCTGGAAGTAAGGATGGGTGCAGTTCGGAACAGTCTGGTAAGTTAGCAAACTCCGTAATGTACCAGTGAGGTTTCTAACGGTTCGATTCGGTACGGTTTTAAGGATGGAACCATTCAGTACTATGTCGTTTCGGAACGGTACGAAACAGTTCGGTACAATGTCAAACACATGCCGAAACATTTGGACAAATCTTGCAATTAGTATATATCATCACACCGGCCAATTCACATGAAATGTTGATAAAAATACAAGAAAGTGCATACTAAATACTAGAAAAGATTCAAGAGATTGACATTTTTGTATTTAAATCCACAAATAATCAAATAGTGCAACACATGTGAAAATATAAAAAGAATATCATTAAATCAATATATATATATAAGAAAAAAATGGTTGTGGATCTTAGCTGCTCTGATACCATGACATGTACCTCGCATACGTGTAAGGGTCAGATTCTTTTTGCATGTAACTTACGTAGGTTAGTAGCTCTAAAACACTAAGTGTATATATTATCACATGGTATTAGAGACAAACCGATTCATGT